GGTGGTGGGGGGTTGTGTAGATCAAATCTGGTTTTCAAAGAGAGTATCATTGCACAGACTTAAGACATTTGAAGTGAAACGTGATTTAAATGGAAATTCTTTTGTAATCAGAAATGGCCAAAAAGAATATTTTCTATTTATTATTATGAAAATCAAATCACAGTTTTTAATTTACTTCCCAGTCTAGATAGGATACTACTTTAAGGTGAATAGAATTCTATCTTTTTGTTCAGTATTTTATTCTAATCTCCTAAAGTACAATGCATTCAGTGACAAACTTTAATCCCTCCAAATCATTCCACTCATCTGGGATAAGCTTGAGGGATCAGATATGAAGTTGCAGTTTTAGATATTTATATAAAGATTGGATGTGTTAGACAGATTTCATGCCTGGACAGAAGGTTGGACCAGCACCTCAAAGTTGCCTTCTGATTCAGCGTCCCCCACTGTAATTTAGTTCATTGCTGATGGATATGCCCATAGATGCTAAAAAGCTGAATAGCCCAGGCCTAACATGCATTATCTTCATCAAAATGAGTTCATTCATCTGCTTATTTTTCTCCCATTAAAACAAAACAAAAATTAATTGGATGAAAGAAGGTGAAGGGATTAGCCAAATAACATATGCATAACCCACAGACACAGACAACAGTATGGTGATGGCCAAAGGGAAGGGGGTAGGGGGATGGGTGGAAGTGGGCAAAGAGGGGGAAAATGGGGACATTTTCAATAGCATCAACAATAAAAATAAAGTAAAAAATTAATTCAGGAAAAAAGAAATTACTATTCATTTTTGGTTGCATGCAATAGTATTAGTATTACCACTTCATATGGTCAAAGAATGGACCGAATCTGCCAAAGAATAATGTACTGACTGATCTTTCAATTTTTGTGTTTTGTTTTTTTTAAAATTTTGAAAGAAGCCCCCCAAAGAGGCTGTTTCTGAGGACCGGAGCAGAATAATCCTAGAGGGAAAAAATGAAATATTTCTCATCTATTTTGTTTGGTTATCAATCAGAAGCCTTCCAGAATTGTCATGGAATTTCAGTTCTTTTTGAAATTAAGTGGAATTAAAAAATATGGAAGGAGGCAAGAGGTAGTTCTGACCTGTTCTGATAAGTCAGAAACTTTGGGGGGGGGGGGAAATAGGTATAAACTAATGCTTCTAGTTTCATAGCTAGGAGAATAAATTTATAAGTCTAGACTTGAGATACAAAACAAAAAATTTCAGAAAATTCTTGGGAGTAAATCAAACATTAAAATTTATCTTTTAGTCAATTTAACATTTAACACTCAGCAAATATTTATTCAGATGTAAGCCTGCTTTCTTTCTATTTTTTTTCTCAGCCTATTTTATGACTGTTTTATTGTTTATTTATTTTATTATTTAAAAAATAACATTGGCCCCAAATTCAATGAGTGAAGGCTCCAGACAGGTAGGGTTTGAGTTCTGGCCTCAGCTTGAAAGTCTGGATTCTTCCAGACTCCCAGCTTGAACCGGGACCCCAGTTAACTGAAGTGTTCCAGCCGGTATTGTTTGGTTGGCTATGGATTTAGGTTTTCTGATTATAAACAAGATAACCCCCTGAGATTAATATTAGAAGCCCCTGGCAGCCCAAAGGCTTCATCCATGCATCCCTGGTGGCTTTCATTTCCCAAACCCTTCTTCCCACCTCCAAATTGCCTTTGTGAAATGTACTCTCTTCCAAGCCAGAAGGCCTAGACCAGTGGTTCTCAACCTTCTGGCCCTTTCAATACAGTCCCTCATGTTGTGACCCAACCATAAAATTATTTTCGTTGCTACTTCATAACTGTAATCTTGCTACTGTTATGAATCGTAATGTAAATATCTGAGATACAAGATGGTCCTAGGCGACCCCTGTGAAAGGGTCGTTCAACGGCCAAAGGGGTCGCGACCCACAGGTTGAGAACCGCTGCCCAAGACCATGAATAGGAGCCTAAAATAAGGATGAGGCAAATGTCTATAAAAACCAGCATACCAAGTAGTGAAAATGTGATTTTTTTTCCTGCGAAGCCTGCAACGTCATTTCCCAGACCCCAAATGGAAGGTTCACCCTGGTGGTTCCACATCAGCATCGAAACTGCAGCTTCTCCATAATTTATCCTGTGATGATCAAAATATCTGATCTCACCCTGGGACACTTAAATGGCCTGCAGTTAAAGGTGAGTTGCTTCCTTGCTTTCAAATTATTTACTAAAGCCAGAGCTTTGTCAGAGCAAAAGTACTCATACAGGGTAAACACGGACATTAGCAATTGGAGTTGTCTGCCCTGTTTGACTGTAAAGTCTCACAGGTGTGTGCCCCCCCACCCCCCCTGCTTTAACTAAACCCTTTCTTATTCCTGTTCAGCTGAAAGTTGCACACTCAGGTGTCCCCTGTGCTACTTGAATACTTTTCTTGTGATGCAAGAAGTGTTTTCAATGGGTAAATGTGTGGCATATAATTACAATTGAACTCTCTTGTACTTGCCTCTTTAAAAAAAAATTATCTCCTAGCAGAACCTAGTATGAGTCATCTACACAGCTGTTTTTCTGACTATTGGAATTTTCTTTTGACATGAAGGAAGTATCTCATTGACTGTGTTATGAAGAAATGCTAAGTGTAGCATAAAATGCGAAATTGGATTTTTATATTGCAAAATACAGTAAAGTTTTGAAGAGTTTTCTGGCATGACATTTAATTCAGTACATTGTGCAATAGGTATTAGTTGAGATTCTCCATCAGCTTGTTTTCCATGAACGTCTGTGTGGATCGTAAGATAAATGCTGAGCTTGACCACATTTACTCGCACTGGTAACGTGCGTCTTCCCTCTGAGTCATCCTCGTTTCCTTTTTCTTTCTCTTGTGCGGAGGCTAAGATAGCTCCTGTATTTGCTGGCATCAAGGACAGGCATAGCTCCTAATCAGACAGATTTCAGGGAAAGCCAAGTAGGACTAGGACTGATAAAAGGAACATATCTAACTTCCTTTCAGCCCTAAATTTGTGGGCCAATGCTTCTTGGTTTGTTTTTTTGGAGGGCGACTTTAGTGGAAGAATATTTCTTTGATAAAGACCAGAACAAATGGGTGTCTATGTATGACATAGCCTTATTGCCTTGAGATTATTCGGATGTCATTCCTGATGTGCAGTATAGAAGACAGCAAGAGTGATACCAGACTGGGAGATCTGCACTTCAGTTATTCTTGGCTGTGAGGAGTAATCTTGGTGTCTCCTTTAAAAATAAAATAAAATAAAGTCTGCATTCTTCTAGGCATCTTTTTCTTTTCCAAATATTTTTTTGAGTTCTCACTATGTTCAAGGCACTATTCTAGATGCTGTAAATTAACAATAAACAAAATAGATGCTGCTCACATGAAACCTGCATTTTAGTGGCATGTGACAGGCAAAACTGCATATAGTTCAGCTAGTGGTGAGTGCCTTATGGAAAATGAAAGGAAGTGCTGTGATGGGTAGTGACTGGGATAGGGGAGCAGAAGGAGGGGTGGAGAGCTCCTTGAGATGCTAAGGTGGTCAGGAAAGAAACCTTCTGAGAAGGAGACAAAGTGAGAATTTAGTGATAGTGATGAGGGAGCCAGCAGCCGCAGGAAGAGCCAGGAACAGAGAGAACAGTAGTGTAGAGGCCCAGAGGCAGGAATGAGCTTATTGGATTCCAGAAATGGGAAGGAGGAAAGATGGGGGGGAGTGATATGAGACATGTCAGGGAGACAGGCGGGGGCAGGGTGTGCAGAGCCCCACAGGTCATATTTGAATTTATTCTAAATCCTTATCAGTAGAAATGATAAACATTGTCCCAATAGCAGAAAAAGTCCTTTACAAAGAAAAGGAAAAGAGGTGAGTTGAAGGAAAGCCCTGTTTATGAGAACTCTCTGACTGCATGCACTAATTCAAATATTCTAGTATGTATGTCTGAATGATTTCATTTTTTCACACATCTTATGTGGAGTTTACAGATTCCCATTTCATCATTGTAGTCCTTAAACTTATTTTTAAAATGCACACACATTTTAAAAAATGATTACTCAACTGATTTTGAAAAGCAATTCTTATCATTTTTTAAAATTGTAAATGCCTTTTAATTTCAGAGTCCTGAATGTTGAATGAAATGGCACTATTAGGATGTCTAGGGCTGATTGAGTGAATTCACCAACTTGCCATTGGTCAAATGATTTGACTCCCATAGTTGGTTTAAATATCTCTTTC